CTCTCTCTCTCTTCTCTCTCTCTCTCTCTCTCTCTCTCTCTCTCTCTCTCTTCTCCCCCTCTCTCTCTCGCGCTCTCTCTCTTTCTCTCTCTCTGTCGCTGTAGTCGTATAGTAGAACTCGATCATTATTAGTGGTGCGGTGGTTTTTGCGGTGGTAGAAGGGATATAGTCCCGTAATCAACATTACTAGGTTAGACATTAGAAGAGGCGGACGCGGCAGCTTAACGAACTTCGATCAACTTCGTAAATCGCGAAAAAAAATTCATCCGCGAAAACAAATCGGCGCGTTCGCGAACGGTCGGCGTGCGGCTCGAACCCGGATCGCTCGCGTATCACCCCGCGCCGGTTCGAACTCCGTTTGTCGCGAGAATCGTTCTCAGCGTTCTCTGCGCTCGACAAGAAACGCGAACGAGAGCGACCCGAGGCTCTCTACACGTGTAAGCTCCCTTCGCTCCCGCGACAGGTACATGTACAGGTTCAGGTTCAGGTACATGTACAGGTTCGGACCCCCTGTAGCGGGAGCGAAGCGGGGCCACACCGGTAGAGAACTAAACCGGGAGCAACGTATGTATGAGAGAGAGAGAGGTCGCTTCTAATTCTGCGTCCCGCTTGTATATTTGGCAGAGCGACGCAGCGGTGCAGTGTACGTGTGTGCAGAGCAGCGAACCGCAGTAATGCCGTCCGGCAAACTGGCCAGCGCCCCTCTTCATAACTACCAGGTTAGCCACCCGTACTAGTCTACTCTCTACCTGTGTGTCTATACCTGCGGTTACTATCAGGTTAACCAACCGTACTTCTACTATATACCGAGCTACATATATAAAGATGTTGATATCTGGAGTGTTATAATAATAGACACCTATATACAGATGTTGATATCTGGAGTGTCATAATAGACACCTATATACAGATGTTGATATCTGGAGTGTTATAATAATAGACACCTATATACAGATGTTGATATCTGGAGTGTTATAATAATAGACACCTATATACAGATGTTGATATCCGGAGTGTCATAATAATAGAGACACCTATATACAGATGTTGATATCTGGAGTGTTATAATAGACACCTATATACAGATGTTGATATCTGGAGTGTCATAATAATAGAGACTTATATACAGATGTTGATATCTGGAGTGTTATAATAATAGAGACACCTATATACAGATGTTGGTATCTGGAGTGTTATAATTGACACCTATATACAGATGTTGATATCTGGAGTGTTATAATAATAGACACCTATATACAGATGTTGATATCTGGAGTGTTATAATAGACACCTATATACAGATGTTGATATCTGGAGTGTTATAATAATAGACACCTATATACAGATGTTGATATCTGGAGTGTTATAATAGAGACACCTATATACAGATGTTGATATCTGGAGTGTTATAATAATAGACACCTATATACAGATGTTGATATCTGGAGTGTTATAATAATAGACACCTATATACAGATGTTGATATCTGGAGTGTTATAATAATAGACACCTATATACAGATGTTGATATCTGGAGTGTCATAATAATAGACACGTGTATTTCTCCTCTCTATCTCTTTACCTGCCGCTGATTATATTTATGTACTACCACCGCGGCAGCGTTACACACGGCTGTGTACAGATGTTGTTATCATATAGACAATAATACTGTCATAATATAGACACTATCTATACTATAGATGTATATTATAGATCTATACTATCAGGAGTAGATAATAGGGAACCTATTATTTCCTATTATCTACTCCTGATAGTATGATACTCCTGTTGTTGTTGTTGTTGTTACACCGATTATTTGTGTTGTCGCAGGCCTAGTTAGGTGTACACGTGTGTTTAGGTCGCTGGTGTTTCTATATNATGTGTCTAGTTAAGTGTTCTTACGTGTCTTGTTAAGTGTTATTACATTGTGCTCGTGGATTTATTGCGTTGTTATAGCTTGGTATTTATAGGTTGTTGGTATTCGATACATTTGTGTTGTGGCAATTAGACAGGCTTGATGTGATTTTATAGTCAAGTTTTATAGAGTAACCAGTTTAAAATAAAATGGCTAATTGCTATTACATGACTAGCTGTTGTACAATCGAGTGTATTGCATTGCTAATTGGTGTTTCATTCTGCCTATCCTATATATGTGCTGGTGTATAATATGTTTCAGACGATATACAGGGAGGGGGGGTTGATATACGATCACAGCGTAGCGTTTCTAATTAGCAGGTAATTGCAATTATGCGGGTCTGAAACCTGTGGGTGTGATGTTGATTTATTTGAGCGTTTGCGTAGTTGACCGCCCCCCCCCTCCGCCATATTCGGTGACACACCTGAAGCGTCTAATAACCAGCGAGGATATATTATATAGTAGTAACTCGCAGCATCCTCCCTATAGCGTTAATTCGCTAGGCGTTAGGTCGTTAGTTCGCTAGGGCGCACGCCCAAATTTGTCATTGTCTGCGAGCGTAGTCGCGAAGTTCACGCAGGTAATATAGATGACTCATATGTAGACAGGTAATATAGATGACTCCTATATAGACAGGTAATATAGGAGACTTGTGTGGCTGTGTAGTGAGGGAGGGTGGTGATGGTGGTGGTGATGGTGGTGGTGGTGGGGGAATGGGAGGAGTCGCCGAGAACATATTATACACTCGAGCGGAGTTATGCTGATTAATTCGTTACACGACTATATAGTTGACTTAAGAGATCACCGTGGAACCCTGAGTGAATCCATGCAGGGCGGGCGTGCGTGCGTGCGTGCGTGCGTGCATTCGTCCTTACAGAGTCCTTCATGGGAACGCTTGTTAAATGCTCGCAATTTTAGCCAATTCTTCGTCCGTCTGAAATCTATAAATGATGCTATAGAATCGATCACAAATCGGCGTGCGTACATTCGGGCGCGCGTGCGTACGTACGTGCGTGCGTGTGTGCGTGCGCGTTCCCGCATCGTGTGGTTTCTGCCTGTCGTTAGATTTCCCGCGCGTGAGCACAGCTCTGAAGGGCTCGCCAAGCCCCCACTTGGTCTTTACCAACTACGAAAACATTACTACGATAAGGGGGGATATCTTCTCCCGTACGTGTAAGCGTACCTGCATGCTGTACTCGTACGCGAACAGCAAAGCCCGACACCACCTCATTATTTTGGTTTACGATCGGTAGATAATTAATGTTTTTGGCGTGTTTTTCAAGTAAAACACACATTTTACTCAGTATTATAAATGGTGCTCATGCTATTCTCTAGCTTATAATGTCAGAGTCCACTTACTAATTTTTGAAAATAAGGAACTAGGAACTAGGAAATACCTTCACGCACATCCGTAGAACGAGCTCTTTTCCATTCGCTCTTACCGAACAGATCTGTAATTTTTTTCGCCATCGCTGTGGTAACGCTTGAGTGAGTATTACACGTGTATTGTATCTTGTATCCATGCTATACGCGCGCCGATTGCAATATTGAACGATATTTTTCGACACACGTGCACCGACCCACGAGTAAAATGATGGGGTTGGTGGGGTGAGGGGTTTTATTACGGACGGGAAATCCTTTTAATCGAGACCGAACGATACTTGATGAAGAGCGAAGTGAGTCTAGATTGCTTCTGACTGTCCTTACAGAGTCCTTCATGGGAATGCTTGTTAAATGCTCGCAATTTCAGTCAATTCTTCGTCCGTCTGAAATTATCTATAAATGATGCTATAGAATCGATCACAAATTGGCTTGTATGGCCATTAAGTATCACGACCCCTTATACAGGGGAAGATGAGTGGCTAGGGGTGCTGGGAGTGAGCGGACGGATAGGGTGGGTGGTCAGCTATGGGGATGGGAATGGGTAGGGGTGCTGGGTGGACAGGTGGCTAGGGGGAGGGGAATGGCTAGGGGTGGTGGGAGTTGACGAGTGGCTATGGGGGAAGGGAATGTCAAGGGGGTGGGGTGGTAGACCGAATGAGCGGGGCGGCTAGGGTGGGCGGTAAGCTGTGGGTGAGGAAAATAGCTAGGGGCGGTGGGAGTGGACGGACAGCTATGTGGGAGGGCTATGGCTAAGGGAAGGGGTGGATAGGAGGTGGACAGGTCTATTGACTTCTCATCACGCGCAACATTTCAGAGAGCATAATAATACAGCTAATAAATACAACGTCAGATTATGTGTTCACGTACCATATCTATCCTCGCCATTCTTTCTTACACGCTGCTCTTCAAATGAAATACCCCGACATGCCATCCATCACATCAGGAGTGTCATAGTATAGGCTAATATAATCTAGATTATGACATTAATGATCTCATTATATATATTTTTTTTATAATGTCTTTTATTTCCAGAAACACATGTGTACATTACATTATATTATACGTTATACAGAATATCTACAACACTGTGATGGTATAACATAGTTCAGTGATCCTCATTATATTGCCTTGCTGGGACTCGCGCCCCCGCGTACGTGCTTTAACACTTACGCTAATATACAACCGTAATTTCTACAAGTGTTATATATAGTTACGATCGTGTCGTAAGTGCCAATGTACGGCGCTTGCAGCCGCGTGCGTGCGCGTGGTGACGAGTGAGAGAAATAGGTGAAAAGGTGAAAATTGTGGGACCATATATTGTAAAGCATGTACTAAGCAGCGAGTCGGGAGGAAATAGGTAGGGTAGATGTGGAGCAGGTGAACAGATAATTTGACGTTGTTTTGTGATTAGTATGATTTTGTTCTAGGTGGGATGCTTTGTGAGAAGTGCCTGCGTTCGTGGCGGGCACGCTGGCTGGCGAAGATTGCTTTCACAGTTCGGTTACTCTTTCTCTCTCTCTCTCTCTCTCTCTCTCTCGTCTCTCTCTCTCTCTGCTCCGACATCTCATCCCTCTCTCCTCTCTCCGTCCTCTCTCTCTCTTCCTCGTACTCTCTGCTGGCTCCGTCGCTCTTCGCCTCTCTCCTCGCCTCGCGCGATCTCTCTCTCTCTCTCTCTCTCTCTTTCTCTTTCCTTCTCGCTCCGTTTCTCGGGCTCTTTCGTTCGCTCTCGCTCCATTTCATTTCCTCTTTACTCCTCTCTCTCTCCCACTCTCTCTCCCTCTCTCTCTCATCCCGTCGTTCGTTCTCTCTCTTCTACCCTCGTCTCTCTCTCTCTCTTCGTTTCTCTCTTTTCTCTTGCGTTTCTCTCTCTCTCTCTCTCGTTTCCCAATTCTCATTCTCTCTCCTTCGTTTCTCTCTCTCTCTCTCTTCGTTTCGTCTCTCTCGTAACTCATCCTGTGTCTTTCTTCTCTCTCTTCTATCTCTATCTCATACTATCCTCTGCTCTCGCTCTCTTCGTTTCGCTCTCTCGTCTCTTCATCGCGTTGGCTGACTCTGTATTTCCTTCACCTCTTCTCCGGTCGGTTTCTTTCTCTCTCCCAACCTCCTTCACCGTCGGTTGCTTTTTCTCGTACGCTTCTCAACGATTGGTTTCCCGTCTGCTCTACCACCTCTCCGATCGGTTGCCTTGTCTCTAACAGCTCCTCTCCAATTAGGTTCTTTGTCTTCTTCCGTCGATCGATCGCTTCTATCGCCTTCACTGTCACCGCTTGCTTATCTCTCTCACCTCCTTCCAGATTGCTTCCTTTGTCTCTCCCCTTCCTCTCTCATGGCTTTCTTTGTCTCTCGCCCTCTACCCCGATCGCTTGCTTTGTCTCTCTCCCTCCTTCCAGATTGCCTCTTTTGTCTCTCCCCCTCCTTTCCCATGGCTTTCTTTGTCTCTCCCACCTCCTCTCCCATCGCTTTCTTTGTCTCTTCCATCTCCTCTCCCATATCGCTTCTTTGTCTCTGCCCGCCCACGTCGTTGCATCTATACGCCTTGAAGCGGCGGCAGATCTTGTGATCATTATTCAATCGACTTAACTGATGGTAGTCGTCGCAAGCTGAAGCCGTTACACAGCTGAATCCCTAATGTATGCGAGCAAAGGAAGAGTCGATGTGGTGTCGCGAGACCAGGAGCCTGAGGGGGAGGGGTAGCGGGAGACGGCGCGCTGGCGCGCGCGGCGCGTCGTAGTGTGTGTGTGTTGTGGTGTGGGTGTGTGTGTGTGTGCTGTGTTGTGGTGTGCGTGTGCGTGTGCGTGTGCGTGTCGTCGTGCGATGTGCGTGCGCGTGCGCGCGTGTGTGTGTGTGTGCGCGCGCGCGCGTGCGTGCGTGCGTGCGTTAGTGCAGTATTTGTTGATAGATTGTCCCCCGGGCGGCCTGTTGTGTAAAAGCCTGCGCACTAAAATAACTTGAATACCACTCTGAGTGTTTGTCCGTCCTCCCATGCCAGTATGAAGCCATGAGGAAGAGATGAGGAGAGAAGGGAGAGAGAGAGAGATAGATCGTGGCATAGAGGGAGAGGGGGAGGGAGATAAGAGAGAGACACACAGAGAGAGCGTGGCAGAGAGGGAGAGGAGGAGGGAGCGACAGAGAGACACACACACAGAGTGGCAGAGAGGAACAAAGAGGAGGCAAAGAGAGAGAGATAAGAAGAGAGAGAGGATAGTTAGCCGATGAGAGCAGGAGGAGAGAGAGGAGTGAGAGAGGAGAAGAGAGTAGGGACAGAGAGGGCGAGAGAGACTCGGACAGTTACAGAGGAGAAGGGGTAAGAGCCACAGCGAGAGAAAGGAGAGACCCGGACGAGCACTGCTCCGGCACTCCATCGACGCACTCCCTGCCGAACAGAGAGAGACAGACAGAAGCGAGAGAAGAGAGAGACACGACGAGACGGGAGGAGAGAGAGAGAGAGAGAGGAGAGAGAGAGACGAGAGAGAGAGAGAGAAGGCAGAGAGAGAGAGAGAGAGAGAAGACAGAGAGAGAGCAGATGAGTGAGAGAAAGGATGAGAGAGATGCGGAAACCGCCGCCGGCTACGACATCGTTCAAGCAGCCGAGCCGATTCTTCCGGAGATTTTGGCCGTCTTTGTTAAGGATTCGTTATGATTAGTCCTCCGGGTGGGCGCGCCGCCATCGGCTCTCTCGCTCTCTCTCTCCTCTCTCTCTCTCTCTCCTCTCATCGCTTCTCCTCTCTCTCGCTCTTCTCTCTCTCTCTCTCTCTCTCTCTTCAGTCTCTCGACTCACTCTCTCTTTCTCAGTCTTTCTCTGCTCTCTCTCTGCTCGGTCTGTCTCGCCCTGTCGTCGCTGTCTGGCTGCTGTCTGTGTCTGTCCTTAGACTTACTCTCACTCTCTCCCTCTCTCTCGCTCGCTCTCTCTCTCGCTTCGCCCGCCTCTCCCCCTCTCTCTCTCCCCTCTCCTGCTGCTCCTTCTCTCTCTCTCTCTCTCTCTCTCGTCTCGCGTCTCTTCTGTGCGCGCACGCTCGGTAAACAGGCCTTGCCCGCACGGGAGGCGGGTCCACCCTCCACAGCACCCGCGAGGTTTACACATGTCGAGGCGACTGTACATGGCGCCGTCCGCCGGCTGCCGTGTAGCTGCATGGGTTGATGATGTCCTGCAGTGGTCGCCCCGGGCGGCTCTGTCGTGTGTGAGACGTTGCTGTCGCCTAACTCAAGCAAAAGAATAGCAGGTCGCGGGTATCGGTGGACATAAGGCGCCAAGAGGAGAGGGGAAAATGAGAAGGAGAAGAGGGTCAAGCGGGAACGATGGACAGAGATAACTAGAGATAGCTTCATTAGTTTATTATTTTATGCTTACTGGTTAGGATATTGATTATTATTTCATTATTAGTTCCAAAGTGGATCCGCATTAGCGCGGGTCTGCTGGGTTTTAGACCGTGTACCAACCTGGGACATTATATTATCAGATTCATATGATAAGATATTATATTATTGGTATATATGTATTATATTCATTATTACGTACGTATTGTTGTTGTTGTTGTTTATTATTACTTATGATGTCATTAATCATTATTATTATTATTTATTATTATGCCCGTCTCGTCGTTCTCCGTCGTCGTCCGTCACGGTACGATAGTCGTCGTCGTGTGTCGTAATATCTTGTGTCGTATTTTGTTGTTGCCGCGATATTGTTCTTGCCGGTACTGGGGCGTGCCCACCGCGTAGACCACTATATGTCACACGTTTCAATCCCATGTCACGCCAACCCCTAAAGCCAGATCGCCAACGCTCATCTCTAATCGCATCCACTACCATTATTATTATTTGTCAGTGCAGTAGTTTATTTATATAGTAGTTTATATGATGAGTATTTATATATTAGAACACTAGTTATATTATGCTATAGTAGGATTTATATGATAGTTAGTATTATAATCTTATAACATAGTTATATATTATATAGTTATTATATCGTTCGATTATATTAGTAACATATTAGTATTATAATAGTGTTTATATGATAGTATGTTAGATCGCTATAACATATGTTATATTATTATGGGGCCATATTATAGATATTTAATAGTCATGACACCGATTATACAGCATAGTTATATTATTATGGTGGTATATATATATATTATAGTATGACATATTATTGCATAGTTATATTCTAGTTCATTATGCATATAGTTATGTTGAACGTATGAATAAAGGATTCAGTAAGTAAATGCATTCATCAGACCTTATTACACACTCCCTTTCCATTAGCTGAGTTTCGTTCCCTACAGAGTATACGCTGTGTGCGGGGCTGCCCTTATATATATATATATATATATATATATATATATATATATATATATATATATATATANACACACACACACACACACACACACACACACACACACACACACACACACACACACACACACACACACACACACACACCCCCCACACCCCACACCCACCCACACCCCACACCCACACACCCATCTCTGACGCGCTCTCGTCTTCCTATATGAGCACAGATCTCGCTCAGCTCGGTGATCATGGACACGAACGGACTCACGGACCACATGAGTAGTGGCGGCAGCAGCTCCGAGCATGACGGCTACAACAAGCAGACGATGGTCGTCGCCGCCGACAAGAGCAAGACGAACCTGATCGTCAACTATCTGCCGCAGACGATGACGCAGGAGGAGATACGCTCGCTCTTCGGCAGTCTCGGCGAGATCGAGAGCTGCAAGCTGATCAGAGATAAGACCACAGGTAGGTGGCGCGCGCGGCGGGTTTTTGCGCGGTCCGGGTTTGACTGATCCGGGTTCGACTGATCCGGGTTCGACTGATCCGGGTTTGACTGATCCGGGTTCGACTGATCCGGGTTTGACTGATCCGGGTTTGACTGATCCGGGTTTGACGAGAGAAGAAGAGAGGGAGAGGGAGAGGGCGAGGGAGAGAGAGAGAGAGGGAGAAAGAGACAGGGAGAGAGAGGGAGAAAGAGACAGGAGTAGAGAGAGAGAGAGAGAGAGAGAGAGAGAGAGAGAGGAGAGAGAGGAAGGGGAGGGGAGGGGAAAGAATGAGCGAAGGGAGAGAAGAGGGCGAGAAGAGAGAAAGAGAGCCAGTGAGATAGATGGAGTGAGCGTGTGTATGTGAAGAGAAGAGAGAGCGCGCGCGAGAGAGAGAGAGCGCGCGCGCGCGGCGCGGACGAGAGAGAGAGAGAGAAGAGAGAGAGAAGAGCGAGAGCGAGGAGAGAGAGGGGCGACAGAGAGAGAGAGAGAGAGAGAGAGAGAGAAAGGAGGCGAGAAGAGAGAGCGCGCGCGCTAGGATTAGAGAGGGAGGAAAGAGCAGAGAGAAGAGAGAGAGACGAGAGAAGAGAGAGAGAGAGAGAGACGAGAGAGAGAGAGAGAGCTGCGGGAAGGGGAGGGCCGAGAAAGAGAAATAGAGAGAGAAACAGAAGAGAGGGCGAGAGGAGAGAAGCGATTTTTGAAAGAGCGGGAGGAGTTGGAGCACACCACAAGACAGGACGGTCGGAGAGAGGCGTGAGAGCCTCATTGTATCCCGGACAGCTTTGTGTTACCAAGTGTGATTACCAGGCTTGTGTTAGCGGCATCACACAACACGGGGGATGAGCATCAGAGAGACCACTGGCAACCAGCATCTGCGCAGGCTTCGGAGGCGCGTGAGCTGCTGTTATGACATAGTGGAG